TCATATAAAATGGCGAATGGAACCATCTAATCATCACGGTGGGAGCATTAACTTCGATCATTCGATGAAATTAATATTTTCAATACTTCAGTTAAATCTTTTAAAATAACTCGACTGCCATGTCCTCTCCGATGGCGCAACGGTAGAGGTTCTGCTTCGCGTGCGGGAGATCGGCGTTCGAATCCTGCAGGCTGGGACTTTCCTCAAGTCGATTTCTCACGAGGTATGTGTATGGTTCTCTGATAATTTGTTCCTGTTACATGTCTGACATTGTTACTTGTACTGCCAGGGTGTATATTCATACGTAGTCCTCAGAATATGGATACCTGCAGCAATGTCAGTAAATGTAAATGCATCGTATATGTGAAGCTAAAGGAAAAATTTTTATCGACTTCATTTTAAAGGTGGCCATCGGTGGCTCATCGATGCGCCACCGGTGCCAATGGGCAGTTATTGGTGGAAGAAGAGTTTTTCGAGTAGGGTGGCCATAGACAGGTTATAGGTGGAACATAGGCCGGACACGCCATCGATGCCGCATCGATGCGCCATCGGTGCTCCACCTATAATTTCCACCTGTAGCCACTGATAATCATCGATGCGCCACCTTAAATTTTTATTTGGGTATTAAACACTAAAGTAACTCTGCACATTCATCGCATTACACGTGATTTTAAAGACGATGTCGATGATGAAGGCTAGATTCCCTGCATAAAATTTGAATAAGATTCCGTGCTCTATTTTTATATTAAAATAATATTATTATTATATATTTTTTTCAGCATTAAAAGATTGTAACCAGCATCTTACTTTATTATACTCCCTTATAAATCCATATTTTTTGTGGTGAATTTGTAATGAAATTGTCAATAATTTTTCATCCACCTCATTCTACATTAAAATGAATTTTATTATATGTTAATTTGTCTCGGGTAACTCTCATTATTGATATAATGTGAATGAAATTACGAATAAAATGCAAATATATTGAGGAATATAAGCAGGGAAAATAATATTCTGTTCATTTTATGTATAATTTGCAATAGAGAAAGAGAAATCTAGAACCTATATATTCAAGAGACAAAAATTAAAAAATTCTCACATTGAAATAATAAATTTATTTCAATTGGCGAATGCGGCGTAAATGTTGCCTAAAGTTCATCAGTAATAATGTGCGTTTAAAAATTACTTTTTAAAGACAACACTTCTAAAGAGGCCAATGTCTCCAATGTTGCTCTGCACAATGAATTTCTTATTGTAGTTTTAAGCATTGAAACAAGTATTTTTTAATATTTTTTAGTAAGAAAATTAGTTTAATTCTTTATTCCATCAATTGATACGTGTATTGTCTCCGACTTTACGCGTGTGTGCCAAATTTCAGATCGATTGGACAGGAAGAAGTGTGTTAAATATCGATTATAAGATTTGTAGCAGACAAACAAACAAACAAACAAAATAACTAACAAGGAAACAAACAAGAAATGAAATTACTTTAAAAGAAAAACATTGAATCCTCTAGGGAAGTAGGGTATTAATCGAAACAAAATAATTAAGTGTTGTTTTTCCTTGTTAGGAAACCGAGGCAGCGAGTGCAGCGCTGTGACGCGCGTCGTAGCGCAGGTGTTCACTTACACGTACTTCTGACCTGAACACGTGCCAAATGTACGTATATTTTGTGTCTACAACATCCTTGAAACACAATTTCTTCAATTTTGCGAGCAAATATAATTTTGTTAAAGGTTAAAAACAAGATTTTGACTGACTTTCTCAGTTTGAAATATTGTAAACGTTATTTAATGCATGTTAACTAAATGTTAAAGCGAGAGTTGACAACTCGCGTTAGTATACATTAATACACACGTCATGTACACACGTGTACATAATGTGTACACACATAATGTGTACACACGTGGCTCTAGTAGCCCGCACCTAGTATTTAGTATCATTATTCTTAAAATTAATTCTTAGAATTAATTATTTGACTAAGCATTCATTTTAATTGTACTCGATTTAAAGTTTAGGTGCATATGTGCACCTAAACTTTAAAATGCAATATATTACAAAAAATTATATAAGATGTGTCTATAATAAATACCTTAATAAATACCTTTATACCAGCGATGAAAACAAAATTTACAGCCAAATCGAAATTGTAAACAGCCACTTGTTTACAGCCAAATCGAAAAATTTCACTATGAATCGAATGCTCTTTTACAAACTGGATGAAAGGTAAAGCCACGTGGAATAGAGCTCGCTCTAACACAAAGTTAAAGCCACGTGGAATAGAGCTCGCTCTAACACAAAGGTAAAGCCACGTGGAATAGAGCTCGCTCTAACACAAAGGTAAAGCCACGTGGAATAGAGCTCGCTCTAACACACGTTCACTTACGCTCCCTTGGTTACTGGATGAGATGCGGCAGCTGTACAGCTGTTGTACTGTACAGTCATGAGAAAAACATCTGCCAGCTTCTCATATCGGGGAACATCTTCCATCAATGTAAGTATCGAAATAAGATCAAAAATAAAACAAAGACTTCATGGGAAGCTTGTATAGAAAGAAAACGTGTTTCGGAAAACGTATTTTACTGATATTAATTGTACCTCGAGGGTGTTTAAACTTTTGATTGGTGTTGCAAAAAGCCCATGACTGTACAGGGCCAGAACACGTGTCGGTCATGACGCAGTTAGGTGCGCAGTGCGACGTGTACTTACGAGTATGTGATGGTGCTAATTAATAATAAGCTCAGTTAGCAATTGAATTATTAGTGAAATAACAACGTAAAATAACTTTATATAAATCCCATGCCAATTTTTCTCATTTGTTCCATAATAATCTTTATATTTTGAATCAACCCAAAGTTGGGCCACGTGTAATAAGAGTGGCTGTAGTTGCGATGGATTCATTCCAACCTGTGACGTTAGAAGCGCTAGTAGCTATGATACCTGGTATCATTTATCAGTCTAATAATATAATGGTTATTACATTTTCAAATCGAACTTACATTTGAGAAATTATTATGTATGAATACCAAATCCATTTTAATTACATTTGAATACCAAATCCATTTTAATTACATTTGAATACCAAATCCATTTTATTTACAAAGTGAGCTCTGTAATAGGTTACGGGCTAAATTCATATCGTATTTGAAAATTTGAAGCTGAATAATGTGAATTAATTGTAACTGCAATTACATTCAAATTTCTCTGCAGTTTGTTTCAAATTTTCTATTTTATTGATGTTCTACTTTTATCTGTGTTAATCTATGACGTAACGAAATAACTACCGAATTTCGAAGTTTCGTAAAGAAATGTTGCATGAATTTCTTTGATCATATTCAAACATTTTTTTACCCTAACTATAACTAGTTTTCTTCAGGTACTGATGACTCAATCGATCGCGAATTATGAATTCCTAAAATAAAATAGACTGCACAAATTTGAAGTGGCATATTCTTAGGATATATAAATTTTTTGAATAGGCAATAATACTGGATAAAATATCGAAATTGGTAATATCAAATGAGCAATCTTCCGGTGGCAGCGAGCGCAGGTCATTAATATAACTGCGATGTTTCTAATTAACAAAAGAAAGAGCTAAATTTCACGATAACCCTCCTACGCTAACATGGTCGCTGTCATGAAAAATTTGAGCTGTTATTTAATATTAGTGAATACAATCTTAAGGGGACCGTCTACCCTAAAATTTTCAATTTTGGCGTTTTCCGGATTTTGTGCTCATCTTAAAGCTTATTTTTTGACGCATCCAACGGTACCAGAATCATCCCTCTACGTCGAAAAATGATTTCGTAACAGCCCCCCGAAGGGAGGGAGTTTTTAGAGCCCTTCACAAAAGCCTATGGGATTAATAAGAAGGCTGGACACACTAAAAAGGAACGTCTGACGTAAAGCGGCCAATTATGGCATTAGCCGGTGCTTATACTCATCTTAAAGCTTACTTTCTGACGCTTCCATTGGTGGCAGAATCATCTTTCTACCTCCATTTTTACGTTCACCACGCCCCATGTAACGGGGGGCGGTGGGGGCGTCCGTAACTAATTCTTAAGGCAGTAATTACGGGGCGTGACTTCATATACTGCCAGATGCACCCAGATCTTTCAGTGCCCATCATGACAGCGAGGTGAAAGGTGTGCAGCCACTCGCTCTATGCCTTCCTCACTTAGTTTTAAGGCTTAGTTTCGGTTGTTGGCTACGTTACGACTCTTTTACGTCATTTTACGTGCCGCCCGGTCCTATTTTTCAATCAATTAATATTTTATTCAACTTTAACCACTGCCTATATAAAGTTATTGTTATTCAACTTTAATGCCTATTTTTCAATCAATTCATATTTCATTAAACTTTAACCCTTGTCTTTTAATCAAGTTTGTTTCATTCAACTTTTACCTCTGTCTTTTAATCAAGTTATTTTTTATTTTACTTTAACTTCTGTCTTTTAATCAAGTTATTTTTTATTTAACTTTAACCCGTATCTCTCAACCAAATTATTTTTAATTTAACTTAAACCCTTATCTCTTAATCAAGTTAGGTTCATTTGATAAACGAGTTCATAAAAAATATAACAATTTTTCACTTGCCAATAAGTGACAATATTTGATAATAATTAACAAAAACTTGAAAATTTTCACAGTAATTAACAATAATTGATAACAATTAATAACTATATATAATAATTGACAATAATTCACAGCAATTACCATAATTAACATACACTTAATTATGAAATGAATGATATATATACCTAATGATGAAATGAATGATATATATACACCTAATGATGAAATAAATGATATAAAACCTAATGATAAAATAAATGATATATACATTTAATGATGAATTGAACGATATATACACCTAATGATGAAATGAATGATCCAAGTGCCACGTTGGCAACCCAGTTTTCCAAAACACCTGCGGGGGGAGGGGTTACTGGGGCCTCCAGGGGGGAGAGGTCAGTGGGGCCCCTAGGGGGAGGGGTTAGTGGGGCCTCTCCATAGCGGGTGGATATAGCCACCCCGCGGGGCGCCGCTCTTCACTTGTGCGGTGGACGTGGCGGTGTAACGTTGTCTGGTGTTAGCTTAGCGTTCCCCGAGTGCCTTAACTTAGCGTTCCCATAAACTTTAACAAAACGCAGACATCTTAAATATCTTCGGTATAAAAAGTAAGTTTTGTAACAATAAAAAACACAAAATTTTGTATTATTGTACAGGGTGCGCCAGAGAAACTTACTTATTTGAAAAAATTCCTGCGCGGCGAGTTTTGCGGGTAGAGGGGCGAGAGAGGCTTCTGATATCTGATAAAAATAACTTGATTAAGCTGTGGTGGTGCAGTGGTGAGAGACTCTGTCTCTCGCGCCCAGCGCCCGGGTTCGAGTCCCACTGAGGACAAGTTCTACCGAGAAGCTCAGCTCATGGTCAACTCAGCCATTCATCCAACTCTGGTTGATAAATGAGTACCTGGCTTATCCAGGGTGTTGTGTAATGCAACCAAATGGTTATGGCGGGTCAGCGAACCAGTGATGGTCGTAGAACTACCAGTGGTACCGAGTGCCCGGAAAAACTGACCTATCACCCCCGCCTCCCTAGTCGCCACTTCCAGGATGGGCAATTACGACAGAGAGGGCGCATGCTTGTCCAGGGTGTTGTGTAATGCAATAAAATGGTTCTGGCGGGTCAGCGAGCCAGTGATGGTCGTAGAACTACCAGTGGTACCGAGTGCCCGGAAAAACTGACCTATCACCCCCCTCCCTAGTCGCCACTACCAGGATGGGCAATTACAACAGAGAGGGCACATCTGAAGGGGAAAGTTCCCAAGTTTGTTTCTCAAATAAATTTGCTGTTGTGCAAGAATTAACTGAACGCGATTTTGTTGCTCGTCAAAATGCATGTGAAATGCTCGTTGACAACCTGCCTGAAGACGCGGTCGTTTTTTTTCAGTGACGAGGCTCACTTCCACATTTCCGGCTGCTTCAACAAGCAAAACATGCGTTATTGGTGTGGTGTAAATCCATGTGAGATTCACCAGAAGCCACTTAACTGTGAGCGAGTTACTGTCTGGTGTGCGATATCGGTAATGGGAATAATTGGTCCTTATTTTTTGAAGAAAACGAACGCGCAGTTACCGTTAATGGAGCTCGTTACAGGAACATGATCGAGGAACTTTTTCTTCCAAGACTCGAAGAAATGAACGTTAGGAACGTGTGGTTTCAGCAAGATGGAGCACAGCACAAGACTCAATGAATTTGTTGCAACAACATTTCCCCGTCCGCCTCATCTCTCTCATGCAGAGGTGATGTCCAATGGCCGCCACGCTCTTCAGATTTAACTTAATGCGATTTCTTTTTATGGGTTTATTTGAAATCTCTGGTTTATGTCGATCGACCACGGACCATAGCACACCTCAATAACAACATTCGCGACGCCATTGCCAACATACCGATTGATATGCTGCAAAGAGTGGATACGAATATAAAAAAATCGACTTCATCAGTGTATGCGCAATGGGGGTTGCCATTTATCCGATGTAATTTTCAAGACTGTATGAAAAAAAAATTGGGAAATTGTATTCTAAAATAAAAAAAATTTAAAACAATCCTTGAAGTACTTTTGTTTTAGTGACCTTTCAAATAAGTAAGTTTCTCTGGCGCACCCTGTATTTATATTATTTTATTTATTTAATATTTTTTATTCAGCTTTTTAAAATGGATAGTTTTAATGTCTAAAGAACATATCCAATACATTCATCGAATTTCAAAGATGGTGGAGAAGATATAAAATATCCAATTGAAGTATTCCCCAGAAAGCCCCTCAAGACCTCAGTTATAACTTTCAAATTTTAAAATTCTCCAGAACTATGCTGATAAACTCTCTTTTAACACTACTAATAATTTCAAGTATCATTTATTATAATCCTTCTAATATCTTAAATAATAATCATAGTCTCGTGTCTCCCCAGGTCGGGAAGGTCAAGATGGCCAAACTCCTGCCGATGATTCTCGCCGGAATTTTGACCACGGTGCTCCATGAAGCCCAGGTCATTATAATTAACTTTGATAAAATTAAGAGTATGAATTTAATTAGATCCTCCAGTGAATATGGTTAACTTTAGACGTTTTCATACAGCTAGGGTACAAAAAACCACATGCCACAAACTCCTTGTGAAATGTCAAATAGACAAATTATGAGCTGCTTATTGATCTGTGAGAGCTAATGCTGGATGAATTAACCCTTTTCCCGCCCACAGGCGGACCTGCCTACAGGCCCTGCTGTTGATGTGAGTTGAAACGACCATCACACGCGTCAAATTAAAATTAAATTTGTGAACATATTTTTGCATTGAGATTTTATGAACATTTAATCTACAATTCCCATTCATGAAACATAGGCTTTGTTGTGCCACCACAAGTTTGTTTGTGAGCAACTGTCTCAACTGTGTCCTGTCACCAACATCACTATTCTGGTACATATCTACCATTTTAATTATTACAGGTGCTTGTGATCCCCAATGGCCCGATGGCATCTTGCAAGACAACCAAAGCCGTAAGGTCGGTAGTGTTCCAGTCCATCAAGTCTAAGAAGGGGATCGTGTATAACCGCGCATACACTCACCCGGAAATATTGAATTGCTTCGGAAGCTCCCAGCCGAGCGCGGCCACCTTCAGGGACTGCGTCAACGCTGCCGCCGTGGCCGGTGAGTTGGCTACTGTGGTTGTTTACCGCCGCCGAAGCTGCCTTTCTCCAAGTAAAACGTAATGGAATGCAATAATAATTGACCAAAGCTACTATTATTAACATCTTTACTAATCGCCGCAACGTTTGCAGGACACTCCACCCTGTCCTTCGATGGTACCACCTGCTCCACCTACAACGCAACAGTACCGAGTCATGCATGTGCCGACCAGGAGGCGGCAGCGGCAAACTACATAGCCATCTACCAGGCCAACCCTCCTTTGGTCAAGCCAAATTTCGGTGGGTGCGATGGAATTGGGAATTCCACCTCTGTTCAAGCCCACTTTCGGTTGGTGCTATGGATTAGTCCTACCCACCCCTGGTCGAGCCCAATTTTCGTGGGTACGATGGATTAGTCCATCCCACCACTGATCCAGGCCAGTTACGGTGGGTGGGATAAATTCATGTTCCTGTGTGGGATGGGTTCAGAACATGGCAGTCGCAGGGCTCTCTGGTACGTTGTCTTTTTCTCTGGCCAACTTCGTGTGATCATTCATTGTGCCTAGTGACAAGTTTAGTCTTTTGGCGGCATACAGAGCGAACAACTCCCGCTCATGTTACCTTCACAGTCGAGACGTAAAACAAACTGGGCCCTGCTATGGAAATGGATTCCTTCTGCAAACTGAGCTCAGAAACCAAGAATTTTGTCGGATTTAGAGTTGTACACAGTGTCTTCTCTCATTGTGATATTTTGGCAACCCGAAGATTTCGTTCCTTCGCATGAAGATTCACTAGGCCGCTTCTAATGGCCACACTGCGCAAACCGTGAACGGAATCCACAGCTGACAGCAGTACTCAAGGAGAAAGATCACATTTGCTTTGAAAAGCGTGATCATCAGTTCCGTTTCTCCTTTTCTGAACGTCCACATGATCCACATTAATGTGGATCATTATATTATCCCAATGCTGTGGAGTGTACGTCGTGGGAGTACCATCTTCGGATGCAAATCACAGCAATCATCCTACTGCATCACAAGATGCAGTCAGGCTGCACAGTTTTTTCGGTGGCGCTGAGCTGGAGACCCGTCCTCTGGGTCAGGGAATACTTACTGCTGGCGGGAGATATTGAGAGTAATCCTGGTCCAAAGTGGATATGCAGCCACTTGGGTTCAATAGAACTCGCTTCTGTGCAATAACATCATCAAGAGGACACAGTGCTCACTTAGATGCAATGCAAGAGTTCAGCATTGAGTTCATGAGAGGTGCGCGAAAATAAAGGCAAAGCAACACACAGAAAAGTGGACGTGTGAGGAGCGTGAAAAGAGGAAAATAAACCTCACATTACTACAGTTTAATATCAACGGAATAAGAAACAAACTTGAGGAACTGAAAGAAGTAGTGCAAAGGAAGAAGGTTTGCTAACCTACATCCATAGCAATCTTCAATTCAGGGAGCTCACCAACTTCCAAACTTATATTAATGGAGCAGAGAGATCTGTAGTGGAAATAAGAGACGGAAGGAACTTCACATTGAGATTGGCGAATATACACATACCACCAAGAGATATCAATGCTGATCAAGGTTAAATAAGAACAAATCAGTGCATCCAAGAGCTACTAACAGCTGATACCATCCTAGTAGGAGATGTAAACGCACATGCTCCTCTCTGGCACTCCAGCATCACAGATGCCAGAGGAATATACATAGAAGAGCTGCTACTCACCTCAGATATGACCACGATGAATGAAGAAACACCTACTAGAATACTATTTGATCAGACACAAAGACGAACATCGCCAGATATCACAGTACTCTCGCAAGACCTGAAGAGATACTCAAAATGGGAAACGATGACAACAACATCATCAGACCACCTCCCAATCATACTGGAAATACAAACCCACAATAAGGAAAAAAGTTTAAGAAAACAGAAGACCTATATTAATTTTAAAAAAGCAAATTTTGATTGCTACAAAGAATATATTGACAGTATGCTAACGGTAGACGATGGAAGACCATATAACATCGGAGAGGCGACAAAGAGAATAGAACTAGCAATAAGGAAAGCAAGCAAGAAATTTATCCCACAAGGAAATGTAAAATTAAAAATAAATCCCTTACCGGAGTGCATAAAGGAACAAATAAGAGAAAGAGACAACACCAGAGAGATTGAAGAAGACCCAAAGAGAGTAAAAGAGTTAAACAACAACATCAATGAAAACATCTAGAAGCATAAGAGGGAAAAATGGAAAACATTTGTTGCAGAAGACTGGGACCAAAGGAAAAACACGGATAAATACTGGAAAGTGATGAAGGGAATTCAGGGTAAGACCGAGGAAAGAGTAACTAATATCATGATTANCAAAGACATACAATGTCGTCATGACTACAATATCAATAACCCAACCTATCCACTGGCTTAACTACCCGACCATATCTCGAATGATACACAGGCTTTTCATTCGATATTAGACGTCGTGGTGAGTCGCCCTGCAGCGGCGCCTCAACAACGTCTGGCCGGTCCGCACAGGGCTCCTCGACACCACTAGTCACCACACGTGGCGCTCCGGCAGGCTCAGCTGCCCCGGCCACCGGCGTCCCCCCCCTCAGACGCAGCACAGGGCCCAACCTGTCTCTTATACACATCTAGATGTGTATAAGAGACTGGGCCTGGGCGGCACTCAGTCGTGTGACGTTGTGGTGATCATCATCATCATCCACATTATTTTTTGCCTGCTTGTTGCAGTTTTTGCTTCTACACGTCACCAAACGTGACATTAGTACTCTTCGTCACTGCGCAGTCGTGAAAAATTGCTTTGCCCCAATTTCTGTGACATCCGGGGCCAAGTAGTTGTATTCTATCTCGACTCTCCCGCTACTACATATTGAGGGTGAATTTTGCATTTTGTTCGCAGTCATATATTGCAGATAGGTCTTCTTGCAAATTCTCGCAAGTCACCTTGCCCACCATTGGTCAGTCCAGTTACGGTGGGTGCGGTGGAAGCGAAGCCATGCACCACCAATTTTGTGTACCATTAAGCCCTGAATCGAACGCCTTGGATCTCTCCGGACATCCACCAATCAGCCGTGAACCACTCGGCTTTGTCTTCCTCCGGCCTCGCATAGAACCTGCCGTGCACCACCAGGCCGCGGATCGAATCTGACTTCCGGGCATCGTTAAATTACGTAATTTAACGTTCACCGCATCTGAGGTTAGGATTCAGATAGCATAGTTCTGTTTCAAAATTTATCGTCCTTCGAAAAGTGGCCGTTCGACCGAGAGCTGGTTCGACGCACGGCCTAGATACGGACGGCTTGAAGTGTTGAAGGCTACGTTCCGGAAGGCAGGAATCATGATGGTCCATTACATCCAGAGCAGTGGTGATCTTCGGCAGGCGACCCGGTGCGGTTCATTGCTGCAACCACTCTAGCCCTAATTTCGAAGACATACCAATGTAAAAATGCATACCAATATATAAATTCATATTTTTTCTAGTCAATTAAAGGAAGATATGAAGTGACTCTGTTAAATAAACACGTTTCTTCCTATTTTCAACAGAAAATTTCAAAGTGTTGACGGTGGCTGCGACCCTGACGGCGGATACTACTAACAACTTCGACGTGACGTGGACCGCAGAAGATGGTGGCTGCAACTACCCCGGCTTCATCGTCAGCTTCTCCGGCCAGGAGAAGTACGTCGAAACCACTTCGTCCCAGACGACGATAGAGAACGTCCCAGGGTGCGGGACTGACGTCATCGTCTCCTTCGGTCTGCCCACCGGAGAGAAGTTCGGTACCACCGCCCAGACTGTGGCGACCATCGAGCCAGGTACCGTAAATGATGGTATATCTACTCAATCTACTGCAATCTAATGCGGGAAATTTAGTACTATGTATCTTTGGTTCGGACTATTTAGTTTAGTTTTTTGATGCAGACTATTTAGTTTGGATAACTATGTAGTTTAGGTTGAGAATATGTAGCTTTATTTTGGACTATGTAGTTTTGGGGAATATTCATATTGGATAACACGAGGTGATTTAGATCAACATGTGAACATAAAAATGAATTGTTTTCATATAAAGCCACTAATTTTTCCTTAATCTTTCCATCTTATTTGATTGAATTTGTATTCCTCTCATATGTACGCTGGAGTTCAACTAAGAAATATGAATGGGTCAAGTATTAGGATACTATTGTGTTTTGATACTTAATAATAATAATAGGAAATATTAGTGTCCTAATACTGACCCACTTTCTGTCCGTTGCACTGATACCCTGGGTCAGGATGACCCACACAAGGCCAATATTACCACTAAGTTGTCTTCTATTGAGCAGAACCTCAAGAGTACTGGCCGTTCAATGACGTGCCGGGATACACACTGGAAGCCAACTTATTCCCGAACAAAACGGTCATCGTAAATTACGACGTAAGGCCATAAATATATATCTATTTACCTATTATTTCAGTTGCTTTGCTTTATGTGGAAATTTTATTTCTTTGTATAGAAAAGGCAGTCTTGCAGGTTAACTATTTCATCCAACATAAGCTTCAGATCCAATACTTTAACTTCAACCTTAAAAGTGCGGGAACAGTAGTAACAGTAGTGACACGGGGACAGTAGTGGCGGCCAGTACAACACAGGGACAGTGGTTGCGGTCAGTACAACACTGGGACAGTAGTGGCGGCCAGTACAACACTGGGACAGTAGTGGCGGCCAGTACAACACGAGGACAGTAGTGGCAGCCAGTACAACACAGGGACAGTGGTTGCGGTCAGTTTAACACTGGGACAGTAGTGGCGGCCAGTACAACACGGGGACAGTAGTGGCGGCCAGTACAACACGAGGACAGTAGTGGCAGCCAGTACAACACTGGGACAGTATTGGCGGCCAGTACAAAACTGGGACAGTAACGGCAGCCAGTACAACTTTCAAATGCTAACTGTGACCTCGTCTATACACGAGGCCAACAGCACGGTAAATAGTGCCGGTTAGTCTTTGAAAGTTGTACTGGCCGCCACTACTGTCTCTGTGTACAACCTCTTTTAACTCAACCAATTTGATATCCATTAGCTTAGCGATCAAGTTTCAGTTGTGCAGTGGAAACTGTGCATGAATGCTGAATAGTAGCTGATGGAAAATCAACATCAGCGTTGGACTGAGTTTGGATATTATTAATTTAACTGACTGATAATACACCCACTGTCCACACCCACTGTCCACACCCACTGTCCACACCCACTGTCCATACCCACTGTCCATACCCACTTTCCACACTTTCCACACCCACTGTCCACACCCACTCTCCTCACCACTGTCCACACCCACTGTCCACACCCACTGTCCTTACCCACTGTCCACACCCACTGTCCACACCAACTTTTTACCACCACCTTCTCTAACTCAGCAACCACTGACCCTGCAGGTTTCCCCTGGATGCGGTAGCTTCACCCAGTTCAGCATTGTGTTTGTCATCCGATACACGGACTTCTCGCGCGAACTGCCGTATCTTGTCTTCCCCATATCTGAACCAAAAGGCACAATCGAGATCGGCACAGCGGATGTCCCTGATATTTGCCTGACTCTCTTGCTTGATATCGGGTACACCCAGACGACGGACGGCGGAGACATCATGGATAACCGAGTGTTCTCGTGTAAGAACCCTTAATTAGAGCATAATCATAGGTCCAATTAGACAGCATTCATCATTAATTAGAATTTTGTTATTATAATCCAACTAGAATTGGAAGGCTGAAACACTGAACTCTGGTATTAATATATTTCACATCCGTAGACTAGTATAATACCAAGCATTTCAGGTACAAATTAGATATGAATTATGTTAGTTACTGAGTTAGACAGACAATATATGCAAACATATACCATAGTGCGTACAATAATTTTCTCGCATTCGGACAACATTTTTCACCAAATGGTGCTAGCGGCCTGGGTATCAAACCTGCACCTTAGTTATAATTCATATACTTCATATAATTCATATCATTCATGTAATTCATATACTTCATATAATTCATGTAATTCATATAATTCATAAATTTCGTATAATTTATATTATTAATATTATTCATATAATTTATATTATTCATATAAGTCATATAATTCCTTCAAACAGATTAGCTCTACTACCCTCTCATAAAGGATGTAATTCTTCCACAGTACCTCTCGATGGACTCTCATATGAAAGCCTGTACCCCTACGAAGTGGTTGGGTCCGATGTCGTCATCCACTGGCCTACTGACCTGACACCTTACGACGTCTGTGGCGTCCTCACCGGTACCGACCTGAAATTCGTGGCCGATCAGACATACATGGCGCCAATATCTGATGGCACCATCACATTGCCCAACCAGGACCTTTTGCTTCTAACATTTATCACTGTGCTGGATGATAGCTTGGGCGTTATCCTGGTTCAGATCTTCGTAAGTTCAACGAGTCAACAGGGAAACCCAGTTTCCTTGCTCATAAATTAAGTAACAGTAATGAATAGGGAAAAATGCAATATGCAATGTATTTAGATTGAGAAGTAGATCTGAACAGGTTGATCTAGGGCAGCCTTCTTTGAAGAGCACATTCATTTCGGTCTTGTTGGTGTCTAAATGGAGGTTTCCTCTTACCGACGGACAGCAGATATAGTGATGTGCCTTGGTACCATTAGTCACTATACTGTTATCATTCTACCTTATTTTCCCCATACCTTCTATCCGACAATATAAGTCAATGTCCAGTCCTCCTGACAACACATGTTNACCTGCCTTCGGATTCCACAGACACCTTCCAAACCAGGAATCTCTCTAATAAATGTCTTATAATTAATTTATTTAAAATACAATAATAACCCTAATTTTGCAGATTCATCAGTGTATGATACTGAAGCAAAGGAGTAGAGGAAGAATGCTTCATCTGAGTCATGATTTAATTTTAATGCCAAATGTGATGAATGTGACGTCTGAGACTCGTAAGTCTCTAAAAATCTTTCTTGCATCTTCCATACGAAGCGCAAATTTACATTCGTAAGTTAAACATCTGCTCAAAAAAAACTTCCCAGTTTCAAAACCCAATGATTCGACGCGAGCTTCCTCCATCCTCCATTTTTAAAACACTTTCAAATGTTAATGGCTCGACAGACCAGGTCAAGTACTAGTATATATAGTTATCAAAATCTGTTCAGACCATATATGACTTTAATATCAATTTCACTGTATATGGAACATTTAATGCTTGAGATATTTTTTCTATTATTTATAGTCAATCATGTTAATTTCCCCACTCCTGCTCCTCTCTCAGATATAGATAGCAAAGGACGTCAGTAGCTCTCTCTCTCTCTCGACCATGCAACTTAAAATCTTGTCTTGCATGTGCGGAACAGATTAATATGTCATATAATTTCAGGTCTTGGTGTCAAATAGGATCTGAATTTAACAAATATAATTTGGCTTTCATAATACCAATTGTTACTACGGATAGGCTATATATTAGAAAGCAAAATAGAGAGCAAGTAAATTAGTAAGATTTTTAATTCTTCTGATTTATTGTTATGCTGAACAGGGTACACGTACCTGTTAAAATCTCTTATCTGCTGCCATAAAATCTCATATTGCTGGTTTATTGAGCCTGGCGGTTTGATCGGGTATAAATGCTACCTATATAAGAGCGGCAAATTTCAGCAGTTATCCATTCATCTCATATATATAGTACTGTATAGTTGGGGAGCACTTGTCGTCATACCTGAACAGGAATATATGTAGAAAGATTTTTATTTAAAAAGTAGTGGCTCTAGAAATTAACATTTATGTATATTTCTATGTTTGCCGCGAAAGGGTTAATCCATAATTGGTAAAAGATGAGAAAATGTAACGTCGAAAGTTTTATTTTCTAAGTACGATTTAAATACCGACGCTATAACTCAGGCAACGCACAAGATACCTCTTATTTGCGTTTATGATTTATTTGCCTACGTTGGAAGTGAAAAATACGTTGAAGTTTTGAAAAATATCGAGTTCACTTCCTTGCACGCTTAAGATTCGTTGACGCTCCTCCTGAACTGCACCGTCGACCACGTGAGTAACTTAAAAGCTGTCATGTCCTACACATGGTGCAGGCAAGGTTCATTTATGCAAGTTTGTTTGAAGACAAAAGTATTCCTTATATTCCAAATTTCGAACAAATCATCATTCCTAATTTGTTCTTTCAAAGAATCGAACTAAATTTCTTGTTTGCGCTGGCAGATATAAAATAGAATGCGATGCTTCGAATATTGCATAAAAGAAGAACTTCTGCCCATCAATACCAATATTCGCAATATTAATTGTGCACTATTTCCTGGTGTCGAGAGAGCTCTAGCTAACTTCCATAGCAACACAGAGGGGTCGGGCCGTATAGTGGCTGAGTATCCGCGATACGGCAGCCCTCACTCACATACAGTGGGTGCAAAAAGTATCCCACCCAATGAAAAACGTTATTTAATTAAATCTTATCCTACAAAATAACATAAACAAACACTATTCTAATGTAAATTTACATGGGAAATACAAATGTCTTATTAAAACAACGATATCATTAAATGTTTATTTGATAATTGCAATTTTGTAAAAGTTAAGGTTCAAAAAGTATCCGACACACAGTAAACATATTTACTCAATACTTCGTCATGTGACCTTTAGCAGCAAAAACTGCTTCTAGCCGATTGAAAATTTTGTGCACAAGATTAACACAAATGCTAATAGGAATATTAGCCCACTCTTCCTTGCATATTTCTTTCAATTGGAAAAAATTTCTTGCATCCCTCTCCTGGATCCTCACTTTCAATTCCCGCCACAAATTTTCAATCGGACTGAGGTCAAGTGATTGTCTTGGCCATTCTGTCTGTCCAAGACAATCTCAACTCAATGTGCTTAAGGTCTTTGTCTTGTCGGAATATCCAACCTTGAGGAAGGTTCAAATTTTCAAATATACTGTCCAAACAATACATGATATTTGTATTTACCATGTTGAATTGCATTAGAACAGTGTTTGTTTATCTAATTATTTTGGAAAAGCTTTAATTAAATAAAGTTTACCTTTGTGCCCCAACAAAGGAAAAATTAGAACAGTGTTTGTGGTGGTAGTGATGGAGGTGGTGGTGGTGGGTGACAGGAGTAGTGGTGGTGGTGGGGTGTGGGTTAAGGTGACAGGGATGGTAGTGGTGGGTATGGGTTGAGGTGACTGGTGGTGGTGGTATGGAGGTGATGGAAGGGGAGGGTGGTGGTAGTGGTGGGTGGTGACGGAGGTAATGCGGGTTGCTGCTCCTTGTCCCTGAGGGCTAGGGCCCAGTGTGTCCAGTATGTACTGAGTGACCCTAGGGAGCACACGTAGCTCTGGACGAGTGGGGCCACGACAGTACGGGTCAGGTTATACAGTTTCTGAATAAGCCGTGTACGTCTTGAATAAGCTGCGTAGGCGCTGAATATTGTTGTGTAGGTCCTGAATAAGCTGTGTACGCCATGAATAAGCTGTGTACGTCTTGAATAAGCTGCGTAGGCGCTGAATATTGCTGTGTATGTCCTGAATAAGCTGTGTACGCCTTGAATAAGCTGTGTATGCGCTGAATATTGCTGTGTAGGTCCTGAATAAGCTGTGTACGCCTTGAATAAGCTGTGTACGCCTTGAATAAGCTGTGTACGCCTTGAATAAGCTGTGTACGCCTTGAATAAGCTGCGTAGGCGCTGAATATTGCTGTGTAGGTACTGAATATGCTATGTAGGCACTGAGTATTTCTGTATAAGCACTGAATTTGCTGTACAATCGTTGAATAGGCTGTGTAGGTACTTAATATGCTGTGTAAGCGCTATGTATGGCTGTGTAGAAGCTAAATATGCCTGTATAGGCGCTATTTGAAAGTGTTAATCCTCACAATAGCGTCAACCCATCGAAATCCTGACTAACAGAGAATGATTCCAATGGGTTCCAAAGGCCGGATCCCTTGTGAATCAAGTCACGAAAAGTTCAAGAATCGGCAACAGGCCATGGGCCTATGTCTTCAACGCCGACACTTCTATTCTATTCTATTCTATTCTATTCTATGAGTTTCAGTGACGACGCTCAGGATGGTTAACCAACCTACAGTGAACAACTAGCAACTTTATTCGCAAAAAATCTGTAGAAAATTAGTCCATTACATACCCGTGCTTTTGTTGAGAGGCCTTGGAAAAACGTGCATCTTGGCTATTTTGTCCATGTGGCTTCCAAAAAATCCATTGAAACACTGGCTATTTTATCCGTACGCCTTCAACAAAATCCGTCGAAACCCTGGCCATTTTGCCCAAGTGCCTTTGACAAAAATTCATCGAAACTTTGTCTTTTTTGTCCAGATATTTTCGTCAAAAATATTTCGTAATCTCGGCCATTTTGTATTTTTAATTAAAATATAAATCAGCGCTCACTCACATTTACGTGAGTCACGTACATGTACATGAGTCACGTACATGTACATGAGTCACGTACATGTACATTTCACCTTGCCTAGGGAAGGACATAGTTATGGACTTATGGCAACACTGACACCACGTCAAGGCTACACAGTCCCGGCAATCATTGTACCGCCACTCACCGAAGTGGTGCCACATGAGGTAGTCCACGGTACCGGAAGTCATGGTCCCAGCTTTCAGTTGGTGGATGTTGAGTTTCTGATACCCCCACTCCAGCCAGCCTGAGGTGCCCACTGCGCAGTTGATCAGGACCAGGGCATCAACCTGCAACGGACCGCCATTACGGATATGTTCTAAAATATTATATATTGACACCATTATATATTGAGTGGAAGATTATATTTAGACACCATTATAATATAACCTAAAAAGTAAACCATTATAACATTACAATTACATTTTGTTAAGTAAAATGTCTCTCGGCAAACCGGCATTACCAATTGTAGTTATCCTATGAATATATATTAACATTTGACATCTCAATTTACACTAATTGTCTATGCATTTAAATTAACATTGAAAAATCATATTATAATGATTAATCATTGTATTTAATTATTAACATTACGTATTAAAACTATGGCTTGTGCGACAATCCCTAAAAAACTCGTTAAAAAAATAACATAGTTTGTGCCGCAGTCTTTTCCTTTTTTTTGATGAAACTAATGCTAGAAAACGTTTTGATTTCTGGGTAATTTTCAATAACTTGAAACACGGAAAGCTCATAACAATTAACATAGCATAACATAATATAAAATAATGATGTCGGCGCTGAAGAGTAGGCCTGATGTGGCCTGTCGCCGATTCTTGAACTTTTCGTAACTTGTTCACTGAATAGCCTTATGTAAAATCGTGTCATTTGACCAGATCTTTTCAAGACTGGAGATGGTTTGAAATAGCTAATAGACTTCCACCGGGTTCGATATGTCATATGGTGCTAGGCATTTCAAGTCTGAACATATATTTTTCCATTGCTTTATCTAGTCTGTTCTTAAACGCGTTCATATTCGGAGCGCCAACGATGTAAACAGGGAGGCGGTTCCACAAGTTGGTGATTCGAAGCGTGAAGAAGTGTTGTCGCGTTAATAAGTTGCAGCGCAGTTTTTTTTACTTTATAGCCATGGCCCCGGTGTTGGTTCATAATAGAAAAGATATTCATGTAATGAAGTACGAGGGCTCATTTCATCATCGCTTCCAGAATCAAAAGGCATCCTACATTTCTTATGCTTGTAGGTTACCAGAATCCGTGTCAGACGTTGTTTTATTTTAAGGAGTCAAGAAGTGAGGACAGAGCGACAGAGGAGGGAAGTACTTCAGACTTCTTATACCTACGAATAATCATACCCTTAAATACACAGCCATAGCAACAAGATCACAATCAATAGACAATTATAACACAACAATTATAATATTAACTTAAAGTATACAGCGACTCTATTGGTCAATAGAAAACTTCAGAGCGCTTACCTTAGGTCGTATAAGCGGCCGACTGCCCAAGTTACAACGAATAGAAAGACTTGAAAACCAAGCCTTTTCTATAGTTTGGGCGATGTTGCCAACACATCGGCTTCAAAATAGTCTAAGCTAAATCATAACAATTCAGTTTATAACATAGATATTAAGAACACAGTCTAAGACGAGGGGATGGTTCAGGCTGGTATACACAACATTGACCCCCCATTTCGAGGGTGGGTCAGGCTGTAGCGGGTCAGGTAAGTATAACATAGTATAACATTGACCCACATTTAGAGGGTGGGTCAGGCTGTAGCGGGTCAGGTAAGTATAACATTGACCCACATTTTGCGGGTGTGTCAGGCTGTAGCGGGTCAGGTAAGTATAACATTGACCCACATTTCGAGGGTGGGTCAGGCTGTAGCGGGCCAGGACGTTGGCGCCCAGGCCCACGCCGAGGCCAATGAAGCTGCGCACGTTGAGGTGGGCCCGGACNAA